TTTGCTATCAGGGCGTACTATACCACTCGGGTTATTTCCGTGTATTTCCGCCTCTCTTAAAAGAATGGGTGCGAAGGAAATTTTGATTCTAAAAATATTCCGCTGTAACAAAAATTGCTAATCGAATTGAAAAATTTGAATATAAATAAATCTTACCTGTTCACCAAGCAGCTTCCTTTCTGTCATCATTCGTTCCTTCGCTGCACAGTTCAGCTTTTCTTCCAATTTATTGAAATCCAACTCTGGTAGGCAGGTATCCAAATCGTTCAATTCCTTATCGATATAGTCACGCACCGAAGCTCGATTTTTCATAGCATTGCCAATGTTTGTAATTTCGTTCGACGATTTTGAAGTGCTAGGAGTACCATGGCGTACGGGCCATGACTTACTAGGTCCAGTTTTTTCACAGTTCAAGTCTTTGTTCATAGCTTCCTGAGTATTTTCCGAGAATTCCACAGCATCATTTTGCCTCTCGAAACTATCAAAATTACAGCTTGTTGATGCAAGTGAATCAGTTTTCCCAGCAGTGTCTAACCTCAGTGAATCATACTTGTCCGAAGAACTGCTTGGCTCTAGACTGTCTCTGGACATCTGTTCCTGTTCTGAATTACAGCATTCCGTGACTTTCTGATTCGGAGAATCAGACCCTGCCTCCGGTGATTTTAGTGTATTTCCCGGATTCGAGACACTGGACAACCGGTTCAAGCCCTGTGTTTGCGCATGAGAAGTATCTGTTGCTGGTTTTGAACTGATACTGGACATTTCGAAAGAATCCTCAGAGCACGAAGTCGAAACAGCGCGATTGCCATCCAAAATAGGTGTGGATTCGATTGATTCCAAGCTTGAACTGTTACTGTGCTGCTCTAGAGAACTTGAACTTGCATTTGCTGCAATACGTCGCGATCCCATCAAATTATCCAGCAGAGACTTGGTGCACAGATTGTTATTATTGGTTGCTGTTCCTTCTATCGGCAGCATCCCGTCATCTCTGGGCCACATTGCAGTAAAATTTGAATAATCCCTCTGAATAACTAGCGGAACATCCAGAGAAAAGAGAACAACAATACCAGTGTAGTAAGCTGTCGAAAAAAGGAATAAATTATAATTCAAAAATTCGGATCCAGAGAAATAACAATCCGTCTTTCGTAGAAGCTATATCAGTTATAAATTAATATACACAAGTAGCATCAGCGTTATAGTTATCAAGTTACAGTTAGATCAGCGCTTGATGGGAGCCAAATTATTGCAAAACCAGCGACTGATGGAACCGAAAGCAAATCAAAGCTTGTCAGCCTCTGAAGCTTGGGCACCTCATTTAGGACCGTCTTCATACGCCTGCAATTAGCTTTCTCAAAGAAACAGTCAATGTTTAACGATAACAGAGAGCGAAAATCAGGTACTCAAGAGCTGTGTAGATAGTGAGAAGTTACAAGATGAGAATCACGAAAAAATAGGAAAAAAATTTAATTAAGAAACTGAGGGAAAAATGACGGAAAATAAAACAATTCGGGATAATAAACACAGAAAATAAGAGCTGGATGTTTCGTTTTACTGGGCTGCATAGATCACATTTCATAAACCTCAAGTGAACCCCCGAGCACAGCTCGACTGTAATTTCGTAAGATATATTTTATGTATATGTAAGCATGTACTGAGAATGCAGTGTAAAAGGAAGCTGTAGATATCCTTTGCTTTTAGCAAAAGTTACCACCTACACAACTTTCCAGTGTTTTCGCCTCTCTGGCAAATGGATTACGAATAGATTTCAGTTGTAACGTGGTGTAAACACGGAGTTGAAAACAGGATTTGCATGAGGAAAACTGAGTCACAAAATAAAATGCTTACTGGGGTATCTGGAACAGCTCTGTAATTCATAATCCTGTTCCCAACTGTGCACCCGACAACTTTTTCATTTGCTTTGATCGGTGGTACATCGCTGGCTTGCTAATGATGTTGACGCTTGTCTCGCCTCTTGGTGGATTTACTAACTTATCAGTTGCTCAAACACAAACGCTTGGCAAGGCTTTAACCATTTTTCGAGGCGTCTTTAGTGCATGTTGAGCATCACCATCTTGTCTCAAATACTGTCACTCTGTGACCTACTTAAAGAACACAGAGAGGCAGGTATCCCATCCACTAGATCTAGAAACACGCACGAATGCAAGAAAAAGACATAAGAAGTGAATGGTGGAGAAACCAGAAGATGAAGAGAGTAGATGTACGATTTTGAATTTCGCTTTTTGCCCCATAAGAGACTGGGAATTAATAGCATCCAATTCCCTCTGAATTTCAGCTTCTTAGCTTTTCCGGTTGAATTAGTTGGATATGATTATGTATAAGCAAACTTGGTTTCGTTATGGTGCATTTTGCATGGAAGCCGAAATGCGGAAGGGCAGCCAAAGTCACTTATGAATGTAACGATAATTGGGTCAGTGCCCAACAAAAGCACGGCAACTGGCAACGATCGATGCACGCTTATTATTACATTACTGGGATGTGTTGTGCAATTGCTGGGCAAAATGGAACTGAAAACTCCCGCAGTGACTTCTGATGCATGCAAAACGGAATTATTGGATGCAGATTTCACGCAGCACAAATGCTGCGGCTTGACAGAGGAGACTGAGATTGAGAGCCTCAATCTGCACCAAGTTAAGAGCGGAAAACTGCATCCGAACTTCACTCTCTACGAAAGGAAGGGGAGAGGGTGGGAGTAGCTGGCAAGAGCAGCCACCCGCTAGTAAGACTGCCAATGGTTCCCGGGTCTTTTAAGGATGACTTAAGATATTTGCAGCAGGTGGTTGACTTCCTGGCATTTAGGCACATTGTGTTAAATAATGAGAAACAAACAGTGGCAGCGGTTCTTAAAGGACCAATGCAGTGCGAAAGCGCCGTTTTTCTTTCTCAGTGCAGAGAAGACCCAGCATCACCGAGTCAAATTCATCATTCCAAGAAA